AGTGGCTGCTATATGTCAGGTTTCTTGAGGGATGCTTATTTTATTAGCATAAAGATAGAGGATAGAATTGTCAATAATAGGCATGTATGAATTATTACTATTAATATCACTGCTTATAGTTGAGTGTACTTCTCTTAATAGAAAGAGTGTTGTTTATATTAACACTAATGTGATCACTGAAATGAGCTCTCACCTTAGCGACTAATTACTCTTTTGTGCTAAGAAATGAGGGTGATTTTTGATTTGGTACCAAGGGATTTGTTACTGTCAGGACTCCTTTAGGAATAATTTTTGCTCCGAGGTTGATCTTCTTTTATTCAAATTACAGACTCAGGTATTGAACAAATGGTACAACTGAAGAGGAAAAATGTCTTCCTAAGTGGTTGGGACGGGAGATGGTGTTTGGAGGGTTTGATTTCCATGTTGGGGAAGTATATTTATAGAGTTAAAAAAAATCCCAGCTCCCTGCAATCCCATACTGGACTCTTACCACTTGCTTCCTTGCTTCCCCAAGAGGGAGGCCGCATGTGTGTCTGTGTGGCCCAAGCCTGGCCTTTTGGGGAAAAGGAGTGCTGGCAGAAGCCAAAGGATCATCATAATAAATCCTCATTAACCATTGCCACTTGGGATCTTCCCTGGAGTGTTCAGTAGGAAACTTTTTAAGAAAACAATGCTTACTTTTCTGTGATAATGAAGGCAATCAATAGGGAACTATAGTGGAAGAATCATAATTTTTCAAAGAGCAGGCTAATCAAAAAATCTCGGGAGGGTAAAACGCGGTGGCTTCCGGTCGCCAATACAGTCAATATAGATCATATTTATATATGTTTATGTGCATATATACATGTGTATGTATATACAACATACACGTTTATATTTATTTAAAAAGTATTTTAGACTTACAGAAAAATTACAAGAATAGTCAAAAGAGGATAGCTTCTCCTAATGCTAATATTTTATGTAAGCATAGCGCTGTTGTCAAAACCAGGAAGCTAACTAAACTATTGGCCTTATTCACATTTCACAGGCTTTTTCACTAGTGTCCAGCCAGAATCTTGTATTGCATGTGATTGGCATGTGCACTTAGTCTCTGTCTAAATGTTTTACATTTGGTATTTTTCATTTAATTCTTATGACATCATGAAGTAGGTACTGTCATTATGTCCCTAATTCTTGGATAAAAAAAAATTGAGATCCAATGTGACCAAGAAATTCATCCAAGGTTCCTAAGCTTCTAAGAGGCAGGGCCACGATGCAAGTTCGGGCCTCCAGGTCCTCAAGTGTGACCCTTTACCTACTGTGTGCAGCTAGCCTAAGGGCCAAGGAATAATCCATGTTGTGAACGGACCCAGTCCACTCATGCACACACACACCACATGCAAACCACAGACTCTCACACAAATACAGTCACACTCACACTTATACACACTCAGCCATAACTGAAATAAAATTTATGTAGAATTTCTCTCTACCAGGTGTGATGCTCTGAAATTTTGTCTTCTATTTCATTTTCTAAAATGCTGGACTTTGCCAATTTCATTAATGCTTCTATAAAGAGTGGGAAAACGGGGCACCTGGGTGGCTCAGTTGGTTGGGCGACTGCCTTCAGCTCAGGTCATGATCCTGGAGTCCCGGGATCAAGTCCCGCATTGGACTCCCTGCTCAGCGGGGAGTCTGCTTCTCCCTCTGACCCTCCCCACTCTCATGTGCTCTCTGTCTGGAAGGAAGGAGGGAAGGAAGGAAGGAAGGAAGGAAGGAAGGAAGGAAGGAAGGAAGGAAGGAAGGAAGGAAGGAAGGAAGGAAGGAAGTCTCATGCATGGGGCGCCTGGGTGGCTCAGTTGGTTAAGTGACTGCCTTCGGCTCAGGTCATGATCCTGGAGTCCCGGGATCGAGTCCCGCATCGGGCTCCCTGCTCGGCAGGGAGTCTGCTTCTCCCTCTGACCCTCCTCCCTCTCATGCTCTCTGTCTTTCATTCTCTCTCTCTCAAATAAATAAAATAAAATCTTTAAAAAAAAAAAAGAGTGGGAAAACCCTGCCTGTAGTCCATTTGCTTGAGGGATGCCCACGGGATCCTCTCCTCTATGTCTTAACCACAGGACTAGATAGCAGCGGGACCCAGAGGTAAGGACAGAGTGTCCTGGTTAAGCTGCAGGCATTTTTGAGAAAATCTTTAATTATGACTGTGGAATATGGGTTACACTTTTTGAACTTTCCCGTGCAAATTTTGCAGATGTTGGATTCAATGATTTGTTATCTCTTTTATTCGATAAGAAGTACATACTTCAATGGAGAGTCACAAGAAAATGGTTTAAGATACTTTTTAAAAATGTTTCAAAGAAAAGTCCAGTCCCTTGTAACCAAAGTCTATATAGCTAATTTGTACTTTTCTAGGCAAAGTCCAATAAAATGAAAACTCTTTGTGTGGTCTTTGCAGCAAAGAGTTGACTCAGAAGTATCTAAACCTTGTACATTCCAAAGAAGGCCTTGTGTGGCTCCTGGAAGGTAATCCATAAGCCCTTGGAATATCCTGCCTGATAAAAGTGTCTTTGTTTAACTGGGGCTTGGGCCATCCAAGATAGTCTGTGCCAACAACTTGACTTATGTTGGGGGCCTTGAGCCAGGTGGTATCAGTTGACCTTTGCAGGGGCTAGAGACAGGTCAGCCACCCAGGCAGGCAATCATATCTACGGGACTAACTCTCAATAAAAACCCTGGACACCAAGGCTCAGGTAAGCTTCTCTGGTTGACAGTACTCTGTATGTGCTGTCATCTACCATTGCTAGGAGAACTAAGCACTGTCTCTATGACTCTACCAGAAGAGGATAACTGGAAGCCTGCATCTGGTCTTTCCTGGACCCTGTATGTTCTATCTTTGCCAATTTTAATGTTATTCTTTCACTGAATAAACCACAACCATGAATATAACAGCTTTTCTCAGTTCTATAAATCCTTCTATTGAAACTGAGGGTGGTCTTGAGGATCCCCAAGAGGTCTGGACACACACAGGGGTGGTGAGGGCATGGGTGTGAGCAGTGAGGGGTCCGCTGCTCAAGGGAGTGAGCTTGTGGCAAGGCTGCCTTTTGAGGACATTGTGACTGAGTGATGACTCAGAAAGCAGCTGAGGGAGAGGCAGGAGCATGGGGACAAAAGTGGGGAGAGGTTCCTGTGTGCCTTTGGTGGACCAGGAGAAACAAAGTCAACGTTCTTTTTTTCAGAACCCCATTAATTGGAACCCTCATTTAATTGGAGAACTGCTTTTCTGATATTGTTTTAGATGAGAGGTAGTTAAACTATAAGGAAATGGGTTCTCTTAGGGATTCGGGAACTGCAGCCTGGGACATCCTGGCTTCCACTTGCACTGGAGAAGTCCAAGTTCAGTGGCCCTGTTTTATTTAAAGTGAATGATTTGAAGTAAGAATAAAGTGAATGATTTGAGAGTCACTTAGTGATGGTCACCATACTGTGAGCAGATAAATATATTTCAGGAAGAGTTCAGCCCAAAATTTCTGTTTTATCTCCACATAACTGAAACTTGAGTTGAATACAGAAATCTATGCTCCTTCCTTGGGAATTATTTAAATCGCCTTGGCTTCCTAACTGGGTCTGGGGGGCCAGTGTCCTTTCCTTTCCACCTCGGCAGTGGAGATCTTGCCTTCATGCATGGGCAAGCATTGAGACTGGCTTAGGGACCCAAGCTTACCCGGCTCAGTTTCCCTGGTCAGGTCAGATGGCCTGGAAGGTGCCCTGCTTCTACCCAGCATCCCCATTCACTCACTCTCACGCCTGATGTTTTCACTCAGACCTGTAGCTTTATTTATTTATTTTTATTTATATTCAATTAGCCAACATATAGTACATTGCTAGTTTTTGATGTAAAGTTCAATGATTCATTAGTTGTGTTGTATATAACACCCAGTGACTTGTAGCGTTACATACCATTCATACTCTCTAGCCACTTTCTCTCTCCATCTGGGAGTTCCTCCTTGAACTGCAGATGTGTGATAGGCACCTGACATGGAACAGGTCAAACTGAACTCCTGATCTCTGCCCACCCCAGGCCCAACCCCCTCCTCTCACTGCCATATTTCTGATCTTAACTAGTGGCCCTTCCACACTTACAGCAGCTCAACACAAAACCTGGGAGGGGGGTGGGTCAGCCCAGACTCCTCTCTTGCACTCACATTACCAAGTTCCATCCACTCCACCTTCAAATATAACCCACCATTTTGTAGCAACTTCATTGCTCCCACTCTGGTCCCACTCAACTTCATCTCCTGTCTAGAAAACTCAGTAGTCTCCCAGCCTCCCACCTTCTCTCCCTACATCTGCTGTGCCCCCCTTTGTCTACCTGCCAATACAGCAGCTGCAAACCTCATCTCCTTCACGTCTTTACTAAAGATAAGGGTGGTACCTACTATGAGTTGTAGGGCTCACAATTAAATTTGAATTTCAGATAAATACATATTTATTTATTTATTCATGTATTAATACTTTTTAAAATTTTCATTCCAGTTGCTAACATACAGTGTTACATTAGTCCCCTTTATTTTAAATTGAAGTCCTCTCCCATCTTCCTAGCAGACTTATGATTAACATACCACATATTTTATTTGTTTCTACAAATTTTGTTAAGGTGAAGTCCACATTACATAAAATCATTCATTTTAAAGCGAACAATTCAGTGGCATTCAGTACATTTACAACTGCAACCTGCAACCCCCACCTCTATCTAATTTCAAAACATTCCCACCACTCCAAAGTAAAACCCCATATTAAGCAGTTTCTCCTTATTTCCAGCTCCTGCCCCCACCCCATGCCCTTGGCTTTGGTCGCCACCAATACGCATTCTATTTCTCTGCATATTGCATATAAATGGAATCATAGAATACTTGGCCTTTTTGTATTTGACTTCTTTCACTTGACATAATGTTTCCAAATGTATCAGTGATAATATGTATCACTATTTCATTCCTTTTCATGGCTAACTAATATTTTTCACACACACACACACACACACACACATACACACAACCATATGTTCATCAATTCAACCATTAATTAACCTTTGAATTGTTTCTACATTCAGGCTATTGTAAATAGTGCTGCTATGAATATTTGTGTACAAGTATTTGTTTGAGCCCCTGTTCTCAGTTCTATTGGGTATATACCTAAGAGTGGAATCGCTGGATCATATAGAAATTTTTTAAAAACATTTTATTTATTCATAAGAGAGAGAGAGAGGCAGAGGGAGAAGCAGGCTCCCTGCTGAGCAGGGAGCCCGATGCGGGACTCGATCCCAGGACTCTGGGATCATGACCTGAGCCGAAGGCAGATGCTTACGACTGAGCCACCCAGGCGCCCTCATATAGTAATTTTATGTTTAACATTTTGAGACTGCTATTTTCCACAGCAGCTTAGGCATTTCACCTTCCCAACAGATATATATTTTCCAGTTTCTCCAGTTCCTCACCAACACTTACTATTCTCCATTTTTTATTGGTTTGTTGGTTTATTACAGCCACTCTTAAAGGTGGGAAGTGGTATCTCATTGTGTTTTTGATTTTCATTTCCCTAATGATTAGTGGTGTTGAGCATCTTTTCACATGCTTATTGGCCATTTGTACATCGTCTTTGGAGAAATGTCTGCTCAAGTCCTTTGCCCATTTTTTAAAAAGTTTTTATTTAAATTATGGTTATTAAGGGTGCCTGGGTGGCTCAGTCAGTTAACTGTCTGCCTTTGGCTCAGGTCATGAATCCCAGGTTCCTGGGATCAAGCCTTGCATCTGGCTCACTGATCAGTGGGGAGTCTGCTTCTCCCTCTCCCCACCCCCCACTCATGCTCTCTTTGACTATCTCCTTCTCTCAAATAAATAAATCAAATCTTTAAAAATAAATAAATAAATATGATTTTTTAACATACAGTGTAGTATTAGCTTCAGGTGTACAATATACTGATTCAAAATTTCCATTCCTTCACCAATTTTTAAATTGCGTTATTTTTTATAAGTTTTTTAATTTATTCTGGAAATATAGATACTGAGATATATGATTTGAAAATATATCCCCCTTCCTGTATGTTGCCTTTTTGCTCTCATGATAATGCTAAATGTGAGACAGGAATCTGTCAAAATCCTAGAGAAGAACATAGTCAGTAACCTCTTCCACATTGGCCACAGCAACTTCTTGCAAGACACATCTCCAAAGGCAAGGGAAACAAAAGCAAAAACGAACTTTTGGGACTGCATCAAGATAAAAAGCTTCTGCACAGCAAAGGAAAGAGTCAATAAAACTAAAAGGCAACCCACAGAATGGGAGAAGATATTTGCAAATGACATATCAGATAAAGGGCTGGTATCCAAGATCTATAAAGAACTTACCAAACTTAACACCCCAAAAAGAAAGAATCCAGTCAAGAAATGGGCAGAAGACATGAACAGACACTTCTCCAAAGACATACAAATGGCTAACAGACACATGAAACAATGTTCCACATCCCTAGCCATCAGGGAAATACAAATCAAAACCACAATGAGATACCATCTTAAACCAGTTAGAATGACTAAAATTAACAAGACAGGGAACAACAAATGTTGGCCAGGATGTGGAGAAAGGGGAACCCTCTTACACTGTTGGTGGGAATGCAAGTTGGTACAGTGACTCTGGGAAACAGTATGGAGGTTCCTCAAGATGTTAAAAATAGAGCTACCCTATGACCCAGCGATTGCACTACTGGGTATTTACCCCAAAGACACAGATGTAGTGAAAAGAAGGGGCACATGCACCCCAACGTTCATAGCAGCAATGTCCGCAAGAGCCAAACTGCAGAAAGAGCCGAGATGCCCTTCAACAGATGAATGGATAAAGAAGATGTGGTTCAGAGGCACCTGGGTGGCTCAGTTGGTTAAGCGACTGCCTTTGGCTCAGGTCATGATCCTGGAGTCCCAGGATCGGGTCCTGCATCCAGTTCACTGCTCAGCAGGGAATCTGCTTCTCCCTCTGACCCTCCCTACTCTCATGCTGTCTCTCTCTCTTTCTCTCTCAAATAAATAAATAAAATCTTAAAAAAAAAAGATGTGGTTCATATATACAATGGAATATTACTCAGCCATCAGAAAGGATGAATACCCACCATTTGCACTGACATGGATGGAACAGGAGGAAATTATGCTAAGTGAAATAAGTCAGAGAAAGTCAATTATCATATGGTTTCACTCATATGTGGGACATAAGGAATAGCGTGGAGGACAATAGGGGAAGGGAGGGGAACTTGAATGGGAAGAAATCAGAGAGGGAGACAAACCCTGTGAGACTCACTATAGGAGGTTCGCTTAACCAACTGAGCCACCCAGGCGCCCTGCAACTCACTTTTATGTCCTGCCTTATTCGGGGGCTCCCAACCTGATGGTTATCAACCCAAATTCCTCAGGACACAAAACAAGCTTAGTAAGATTTTGTTGTTTTTGCTAGATATTTGCAACTTTCAGGACTATAGTTCTTGAACATAAAATAAGCAGATGTGCTGGAAGGTGGCATGCTTGACTCTAGAATTTAAGGATCCCATTAGCTAAGCCTTTGGGTTCTCAGACCTGAACTAATACCTGGAAGGGATGGGCCACAGGGTTGATGTTTGTGCATGTTTTACAGTGTACCTTGTTGCATAGAAGTTTTCTTGATGTTGGTGGGTGACCTAGTATCAATCTAACCCATTCCATGACCCACCTATCCTATCCCAGGAGTCTTCTTGAAGTGGCAAGTGCTCTAATAGCCTTTAAGTGCTCGACCTATGCCCACCAATTTTTGTAGCTTTTTGGCTTCTCAGATCCCCACTAGCAAAAGCCCTTATCTACATCAAACAAGACAAACACACAAGTGCACCTCAGTGTATTGGCAGTAACCAAGAGATGTTAGCGCATCCTGGTCACAAGAAGGCCTTGTGTGCACACCATTGCCAATTCCCATGGAACTTGCTGTGATTGTCCATCCAGGGAACTGTGGTCTGAAAGGCTAGGCGCTTGGCCCTGGGCTGACCCTCTGCCACTCAGTTGTGCTCCAGGCAAATATACAAGCTCAGTTGGCTCTGGGAATGACTGTCTAGCAGCTCAAGTTGATGTGCCCTATAAAAGAATGCCAATTAGATTGGGAGCTCAAACGCAAAAGGAGTGGAACTCAGAACTCAGAAGAACTTACCTACAGCCCTTGTGAGGGCTCACCTACATGTGAGAAAGACAGTGACATCAAAGGGATCATAGAGAGCATGCCCATTTTTCTTATTGTCCCTGAAAGCTGCCAGAAGCTTGCTTCGAATCCCACCACTGCTACCAAATCTGTTAAATAACAAAAACTTAAGTAAATTTTAAAAATCTAATTGGCTTTATTTTATTTTTTTTAAAGATTTTATTTATTTGAGAGAATGAGATAGAGAGAGCATGAGAGGGGGGAGGGTCAGAGGGAGAAGCAGACTCCCCACTGAGCAGAGAGCCTGATGCGGGACTCGATCCCGGGACTCCAGGATCGTGACCTGAGCTGAAGGCAGTCGCTTAACCAACTGAGTCACCCAGGCGCCCTCTAATTGGCTTTATTAATTGATTTATGAATCAGGCAGCATCCCATCTGGCAAGTAGTGGGGAGCTCCAAAGGGCTACACAAAAGGAAATGTTTTTAAAGATATGAGGGAGTGGGAAAAAAGGAAATTATTAGCCCCGAACCCATTGTTTTAAGCAAAGTTGTCCTTCTAAGGAGAACTGAAGGGATCCATCAGTGTACTTCCTAGTGCTGACCAGGAAATCCCCATGTTGACTGGTTGAAGGCTATGTTTCTGTATGGTTGAAACTGCAGTTAGGTTAGGCATTAAGCATTGCTTTACTGATTCGAGGCCGTAACGTAAGTGACACCATTTTGAGCCTGTGATTTTCTTTTTAACAACGATAAAAACAAAAAACAAACACCTTGTGGAGAAAAGCAAATGCAAAACCTCTTCTACTTGGCTTTCTTGGATGTTTAGCATAGTTTGTTCCCAAGAGTATTTGTGTTTATTAGACAAACTGTTTTTGTTTGTTTTTGCTTTTTAATTTTATTGTTATGTTAGTCACCATACATCATTAGTTTTTTTTTTGTTTGTTTGTTTTTTAAGATTTTATTTATTTATCTGAGAGAGAGAATGGGAGACAGACAGCATGAGAGGGGGAGGATCAGAGGGAGAAGCAGACTCCCCGCTGAGCAGGGAGCCCGATGCAGGACTCGATCCTGGGACTCCAGGATCATGACCTGAGCTGAAGGCAGTTGCTTAACCAACTGAGCCACCCAGGCGCCCACATCATTAGTTTTTGATGTAGTGTTCCATGGTTCATTGTTTTCGTATAACACCCAGTGCTCCATGCAGTACGTGCCCTCCTTAATACCCAACAGACAAACTCTTTGAAGCTAAGTCACCCTTTTCTCTCAAGTACACTGCCCCATGTATCTTATAAAGCAGTGATCCTCAAGGTGTGAAGGTAAGGGTGGGTTGAGGTGAAGGGGGGATTTTGCTTCCCCAATGTTACAAAGAAAACCACAGGCCCAAAATGGTGTCACTTAGGTTGAATTCCTAAATTGAGGATTAATACTAATCTAATTGCAGTTTAGGGGCACCTGGCTAACTCAATAGAGAATGCGATTCTTGATATTAGGGTTGAGGGTTCAAGCCCTATGTTGGGTGTGGAAATTACTTTAAAAAATACGATCTTTTAAAAAAAGAAAAAAAAAAGAAATTGTAAACAAAAAATACATAAAAAAATAATATTTGCAGTTTCAACCTCCACCCGAAATGTAGTCTTTACCAGTAAAGAATGTTTTTTGATCAGTGCCAGTCTTCCCCATGGGCCCTCTCCATCCCCCAAAGGCAGAGGAGGTCAACTGCAGATAAGACTCCTTGCCTTTCCCCACGAGTGGGAACAATCCTTTTCTTTTGCTAATAGCTTTCTCGTCCCACCTTCCTTCTACAAAAACTTTCCATTTTGTGTAATTCCTCATAGCATTCTTCTGTTTGCTAGATGGGATGCTGCCTGTTTTGTGCATTATTTAATAAAGCCAATTAGATCTTTAAAATTTACTCAGTTGAATTTTTTATTTAACATCGAAGACACTGGAGACATTTTTGGTTGTCGTAACTGGAGGGACAAGGGTGTCGCGCTACTGACGCCTAATAGGTAGAGGCCGGGGATGTTCAAAGAGTCTACAATTAAAACTGCCAGATTTAGCAAATAAAATACACAAGGTGGGGCGCCTGGGTGGCTCAGTTGGTTAAGCGACTGCCTTCGGCTCAGGTCGTGATCCTGGAGTCCCGGGATCGAGTCCCGCATCGGGCTCCCTGCTCGGCAGGGGGTCTGCTTCTCCCTCTGCCTCTCTCTCTCTCATGAATAAATAAATAAAATCTTAAAAAAAAAAAACCTGCCAGATTTAGCAAATAAAATACACAAGGGGGGGCGCCTGGGTGGCTCAGTTGGTTAAGCGACTGCCTTCGGCTCAGGTCATGATCCTGGAGTCCCGGGATCGAGTCCCGGGATCGAGTCCCGCGTCGGGCTCCCTGCTCGGCGGGGCGTCTGCTTCTCCCTCTGACCCTCCTCCCTCTCATGCTCTCTGTCTCTCATTCTCTCTCTCTCTCAAATAAATAAAATCTTAAAAAAAAAAAATGCACAAGGGGTAGTGTCTCCAAATAAAATGCAGAACTCTCAATTAACTGTGAATCTTAAATTAACACTGTTGTTTACCTGAAAACCAAAGTTAACAGCTCACCATGCACTTCACCTGGTGACTCTACCCCTAATGCACAGGACAGGCCCCGTCACAAAGAATGACCCAGGCCAGCACGTCCCGACCGCGGAGGTTAAGAAATCTCGTCCCGGGACAGCGGTTTTCAAAGCCTAGTGCGCATCGGGATCACCTCAAGGGACACAGGCGCGGACTGGGGGGCCCGCCCTCGGTTTCTCGTGCGCCGTCGCCCCAGGATGCGCTTGCTTATCAAGTTCCCAGGGGAGGCAGCTGTTGGTCCGGGGCCGCCCCGGAGAACTGTTACCCAAAACTGCGTCCGCTTCTGGTGGGTGTGGAGCCAGACACAGGAAAAGAAGAGAAAAGCGGGTCCTTCCCCAAGCAGCGTCTCCTCCTCCGAACAGGACCGGGCAAGTTCCAAGCTGGGGGAGCACATTCCCGACGCGGTCTTCCCGAGGGGAATCCGAAACGGCGGGGGTGGAAGTCGCCCTGAGCCGACCGGGTCCGGGCCAAACCCGACGGCAGCGCGGCCGGCCGCGCCCGTTCGGGGCTCCACGCGGTGCTGTACCCGGGTGCTCCGAGCGGTTCAGGTCCTGCAAAGGTAGCGGGAGGCGTGCGCGCCGGCTCGGCCCCGGGAGTCCGCCGCGGGCTTGCCGTGCCCTCACGACCGTGTGTCCGCCGTCGGCTCTCACGCTCTCTGGCGCGACGGCCGGGGGCCCGGAATGACTTTTCTTATGCGGAGAAAGCGAAGACGTCTTTTCCCAGAGACGTCTTTTCCCTCTTCCCGTTCACAGAACCACCCGCCGAGAGAGAGAGAGAGACGGCGTCGCGCCCTCGCGAGCAGGAGCCGCAAACGCGTCCACGCTCCCTCGGCGGCCAGCGGGGCGCGCGGAGCCGGCGGGCACGTCCGCGGCCGCTGCGGCCGCTCTCCCCGGCCCGCGGAGGCGCTTTCCAGTCCGCTCTAGGCTCCGCGGAGGCCCGGGCGTCTCGGTGGTGGCTCGGTCGGGGGCGTGGCCGGGGGCGTGGCCGGGGCGGGACACAGAAGGCGAGCCCCGGCGCCGCGAGCGCTCTCGTGCCGGACGTTGCGCGGCCGCGACGCCCCAGCCGGCGCGGCCGGGCGCTCGGGGGTCGTTGCGTCGCGCGGCGTCCCGCGCAGCTCGGCGAGACTTCGGCCGCCCGGAGCGCGGAGGTAGGCGTCGGCCCGCCCGAGTCGCTGGCGCGCGCTGGGTTGCGTGTGTGAGAGGCAGGGCCCGGCGTTGCGTTTTCTCAACGGTGCCCGAGGCGGGGCCCTCGGTGCCGCGCGCGGAGGGTGGGCGGGAGGGACTGCTTCGGGGACAATGGGCTCCTGGGCGCCGAGCTGCGCGGGCCGGGCCCGGCTGCCGGAGAGCCTGTGGCGGCCAGGGTGCTCTGACGCAGGACGCCCTGGGGAACGGTGGCCGGGACCCGAGGGCGGGGCCGGGGCTGCGGGGGGGGCCGGGGGGGCGCGGGGCGCGTGCCACGCGCCGTCAGGGAAGGGGTGGCCCTGCGACGCGCGGGCGCTTCCGTCGCTTCCGCCTGCCCCTGCGGTTGCGGGGTGGCTTTTGTCTTCGGCTCCCTTTTCCCGGGTGGTGTTGTGACCGGGGCGGGGGCGGGGGGCCGCTGTCTCGCAAAGGCTTTTCCGGAGCCGTTTTGCACGTGGCTCAACTTTGAGGCGTTTACGTTTATACAATGTCTTTTTTTTTTTTATTCTTCTTGAAATAATTTCAGAATTAAAAAATGTTTAATTTTTTTAATTAAAGTTAAAAATTAAAATTAATACAAAGTATTCTCACCTTTTTTTTTTTTTAAAGATTTTATTTATTTATTTGAGACAGAGAGAATGAGAGACAGAGAGCACGAGAGGGAGGAGGGTCAGAGGGAGAAGCAGACCCCCCGCCGAGCAGGGAGCCCGATGCGGGACTCGATCCCGGGACTCCAGGATCATGACCTGAGCCGAAGGCAGTCGCTTAACCAACTGAGCCACCCAGGCGCCCGTATTCTCACCTTTTATTCCCTTAGACTCCCCAAATGTTAACAGAACAGGAAAGCTAGGGCACTGTATCTACGGTGTTATTCGGATTGTGCTGCTCCTCTCACCCATTTCCCTTCTGTGGGATGGGATCCAAGTCAGGACTTAGTTGCATTTAGTTGTCTGTCGCATTGGAAAAATTTACATTCTAAACAGTGGAGGCCCTCTCACCGCCCCCCACGCCCACCCCCACCCCCAGATCCTTCAGCGTGGCCTTGGAAGCGCCAGGTCTCAAATCAGAGGGTCTTGCTCTGTGCCAGGCCCACCGATGTCCAGCAGGGCCTCGGGCGGCTTTGGCGCTCGTGGTCTCCCTCTGTGCCTTGACCCATCTCGTCCTAGCCGGTCAGCCTCCCCTGGTTCTCCTCCTGCTGCTCAGGCCTGCCGTCTCCTGTCCTGATACCTCGGAAGATGCGCTCCTCGGCCACCTTCTCTTGCAGTCTGGGTAGTTTCCCTGGGTGATCTCCCCTGGCCTCAAGGATTCTTGCGGCTTTGAGCAAACCACGGATGCTCAGGAAACTCATCGTTGATGATTCCAGCCCAGGCTACTGCTCTGTTCCGGACTCACGTAGCCTGTGGCGGACACGGTACCTTCATGGGCTATCTCAGGAGCATTTCTGTCTCAGTATGAGTATATCTCAGCTCACGCACATCTGGTCCTCTGCTGGTGCCCTCAGAGTCTGTGAATGATACCGCCCTACCCTAGCCACTCAGCCACTCCTGCGGAAGGCCTCCCTGATGAGCTCTTTCCCTACCCCTAGTCCCTCCAGACTTGGTTTCCTTTTTGAACCCTCCCTGGGCTGCCCCACTTTTCTCCAGGGGAGCCACCGTCCTGCCTTTTGTCTCCCTGTGCTCGCTTTGGTGCCCTCACTCAGTTGTCCACACCACAGTCAGACTAAGCTTATTAAAATGGACAAGTGATTGTGTCATACTGTCTGTAATCTTTTAAAATTTCCCTTTACTAAAAAAAAAAGATAGATTAAGATACAGACCGTTAACTATAGAGAACAAACTGATGGTTACTGGAGGGGATGGGAGTGGGGGCATGGGTTAAATGGGTGATGGCGATTAAGGAGAGCACTTGTGATGAGCATCAGGTGATACATAGAATTATTGAATCACTCTATACGTGAAACTAATATAACACTGTATGTTGACTAGGATTAAAATAAAAACTTAAGGGGCGCCTGGGTGGTTCAGACGGTTAAGCGTCTGCCTTCGGCTCAGGTCATGATCCCAGGGTCCTGGGATCGAGCCTCACATCAGGCTCCTGGCTCAGCGGGGAACCTGCTTCTCCCTCTCCCTCTGCCTCTCTCTCTCCCTGCTCATGCTCACTGGCTCTCTATCTCTGTGTCTCAAATGAATAAATAAAATCTTTAAAAAAAATAAAAACTTAAAATTAAAGATGCAAAAATAAATAAATAAAAGTTCCCTGTGCTGTAGGACAAAGGTAAGTCTTCTTAATGGTGCCCTCAAAGCCCTGAAATGGCTGGTCCAGCCTCTTCTTGTATCCTCTCCCTCAGGTTCCCTGCTCTGCTCTGACTGGCTTTGCTTCTCTCCTTGTTTGCTGTTTCCCCTGCCGGGATTCTGTTCCCTCTCTACTCAGGGAATTCTTAACTCTTCTTGCAGATCTCCATCTAGTCATGTTTTCCTTAGGGAAGTTCTCTGTGACCTCCCTAACTAGGTCCAGGTCCTGTTTTGCAGATCCTAATCTCTACCACCATCTCTCCTTGGTAGCCCTGTTAAAGTGGCAATTTTACACATACATGCTTAGCACCTGGTACACACTTTTGATGTTTTCCAAATGAATGAGGAAGTGTTGGGGTACTTAATACGGTTGCTTAACAGCCTCTACCTGAACGTTATTGTTGTTGGGAATTTGCTTAGCATATAGGGGCACGGCGTACTCTTGTTCCATTTCTCTGTTGGTGCTGTCAGGCAGGGCGAGAGGGAGCCACACAGGCGGGGATGGAGAACCTAGAGAGAACAGCCAGAGGAGCATTGAAAGGGAGAAGTAGCTTCTGCTGTTCTTACTGCTTAGCTTCCCTTTCCGTCCTGGTTGAATCCACTGTGTTAACTGACTTCATTGACAGACTCTCTCCTACTCTCCATTTCCTGTGCATGGTTTCAGAGAATCTTTACAAATATATTTTGGTTAGGGTCAAGCATATATCAGTAGTTCCTAGTTCTATTCTAAATAGCTGGCTCAGAGTCTGTAGGTGAAATGGAAATGAAGGCCTGTTGGAGGAGGAGGTGGATTGGGTTCCCTGAACTACAGTCATTTGCTCTGTGGTGTGAGTTGTTCAGTTCAGCAAGTATTCACTGGGGGCATGCGAGGAGCTGTGTTGGCTTCTGGGGATATAAGGGTGAATAAATTCTGCACCTGCCTGGCCATGGGGCACATGGTGAGGTCAGCATGTGGTAATCAAGGTGAAAGCTGGTAGAAGCTGTATGAGAGGAACCCTTGACTTGAAGAAGGACAAGCCGAGGCAGGGCTGGGTGGGGGGCCCTGGGGACCAGGCTGGTTGGTGGCCTTGACCTAATTCCAGGACCCTTGCAATTGTGACCTGAGAGGTTCTCAGCTGGGTGTAAGGATGGGCCCATGTCACAATGACTGGGTGGGGGCTGTCACTGAGTGCTGGTGAATGGAAGAGGAGGGCCTGGGGCACAACAGAGAAAAGGGTGATGAGGTGAGCTGCTGAGGTGGGCCCGGCGGAAGTGGTAGCACAGGAGGTCACACTCTCTGACCCCAAACCAGCCAGACGTGTTTGTTTTTTTATTTTTATCGAAGTCATACTAAAGCACCCCTAATCAAACACAGAATTTCTGTAGCAAAATGTATGGATATCTACAGTTAGGAATAGAAATAGACATTGCAAAGAGCCTCCCATCATTTTAGATTTTGCTGCCAGAGTTTGTTGCTAAAGTTTGAAGAAATGTTCAGTTTTCCCAGCATTTTTGACTTGTGAGAATTGTGGGTGAGGGGTTGTGGATCTGAAATGATAGCTAATGCTTATAGAGCTTCACATGCACTGACTCTTGTCCTCACAGCAACCCTACTAGGATTGGTACCTTGAAGATCCCATTTTATAGGTGAGACAAGGTCAGTGACTTGCCTGTGGTCACAGAGCTCACCACTGGTGGCTCTGTCGTCTACATTCTTACCAGGCTGCTGACTTGTGAATGGGAAGTGGGGAGAGTTTGAAGGACCAGGTCTTTCTCCCACTCTTTAGACACCTAGCATCCACAGCCAGCCTGCCTGAGTGCCCAGGAAGGTCTGCAGGGAAGGGAGGTGGGAGACCCAAAGAGGTCATGGTCACGTACTCAGATTCCCCGAGGGCCCGTGGAGACTCGTTTCCAGGATGCTGCATCTTGTGGTCTGGTTGGGCAGCGAGCTTTTCTCAAAAGCTGTAGGGGAAGTTACATGCAGCGTCAAGGAGAGCAGAGGAGGAGGTGAGGCGGTCAGAGACGAGCTGTGGTGTGGGCAGGCTGGGACTGGAGAAATAAGGGTTCTGTAAGGAGAGTCTTCGTGAGACTGTAGAGTGGGGACATGACTGTTTTCTAATCTTCTTCCGCCTGCTGTGCAAGATACATGTGTTCTGAAACACCCCAGATGAACACTTTCTGCTTGCCACTCCCTCATCGCTGCAGACCGCTGCCCACCTGAGGGGCACTGAGCAGGTCGCCCCAGTAGTATTTGCCTTTGTGTGTGCATGTGTGAGTGTGCAAAAATACATATAAAATGCGTATGAGCCGGGATAATGAAACAACTCTGACTCTCCCACTCAGTTTAAGAAATAGAACTTTACTAAAACCTTAGAAATCCTCTGTGTGTCTGCTCCAATTGCATCTTTTCTCTTCAGAGGTAACCACTATCCTGCAGTTCCTTTTAATCATTTCCTTGCTTTTCTTTATAGTTTTACCGTGTGTGTGTTTGCAGATTATATATATATGTTTTGTTTTAACTTTTTGGTCCTTGTAAAATGAAGCATGTGGCAAGCTTTCTGGGGTGTTTTGCTCAGTATATT